AGCGACACGACCTAGTTTCAGCACATCAAAAGGTCTGATAACAGGAGCACACATACGGGAACTAACAACTAGCGGCCAGATCTAGAGTACCCTTAACTCTGTTCGCGTCGGGCCCAGTACTCCTGCTCCTCCGCGCGCGCCTTCTGCAAGGCAGGCAGCACCTTATTGACCTCCAACCAGTCCTTGTGCAGGTCGTCGTCGGCGTACGCATCGCCCCAGTGAGCCCCCACGGACATTAACTTCGGGAAGACACTCGAGAGGAAACCTGCTACGGCGAGGGGTGCCGCAACTGGGTAGCGACAGACGTGTAGTCTCTCGAGGTGCAGCTGTCGGGGGCGCTGGTTTCCAGCCTCCAACTCCGGAACGGGCGTCGTCGCGTCAAAAAAGAGGTCCAGCCACGAGAGATCGGGGCAATGTCGCGCGAAGTGTAGCAATGCGGCCAGGGTGACGGTGGATTGGACATGTGCGTGCTCCCTGCTGGAGAAGAGCCGAAGTGTATCGATACGCGGCCAGCCACGAGCCATGTCTGCGACCGTGGCATCGTCGAGAGCGAAGCCAGCGGGTGCAGAAAGCTCGACATGGGTGAGGTTGGAAAAGGTGAAGAGTGGACGCAGTTGGAGGCTGCTAATCCAGTCGCGCGCAGTGGACGCTGCACCAGAGACTCGCCTCTTGGATGATTCACTATTCAGCACCAGTTCTGACAGAGAACTGCGTGAACAGTTGGCGACGACAGCGACGTAAAGTTGAGCGATCTTGTCGGATGTCGTGCGTTTAGGCCAGGTCACCTCAATGCAGGTGATGGGCGCGTGCTTGAGCAACGGTATGATGCCGCTCAACACATTCATCCTGGTCCAGATGTCAAGGGTTTTCAAGCTGGCGAAAGGTCGACTCCCGGGTGTGGTTGATATGGTGATAGGAAATTGGTTCGTCAAATGCAAAGAGACGATTGTAGGCAATTCTGCAATGTAATGCAATGCCGCGCGGTCGAGGGAGGGGACAGTGACATTCTTCAAATGTTTCAGACTCCGTAAGAAACAGGACAGGCTACGGAAATGGTCGATATTGTCGTCATCCATGTCGAAGGATAATACGAGCTTGACGTCGGTCAGCGAGGGACATTGTTTTGCCACAGTCGCTAGCAATGATAGATGTGCGATTGTGTCCAGTGAAAGAAATAAAGTCGTGAGTCTCGGTCCAAGGAAAAGCAGGACGTGCGGGATGAGTTCCGGCGCGTTCACAACGTGCCACTCGAGAGTCTCGATATTCGGGAACAAATGTTGGCCCGGGAAGCACACCCGCACAGTCTCCAGAGCCTTTGCCGTGTATAGAGTTTGATCAAAGCGGAAGAATTTCACTCTCCCAGAGTACACCCGAACGCGATCCCAATCGCTGTGCACAAGGGGTTTGTGAAAAGCCTGGCGGAAGTGATTAATTATTTGTAGTGGTTCGTCGCTAGGCAGCGTACCGAATCTTCGTCAATTCCATCCCAAGCGCCATGGGGAAGAAAACGGAGAACATTCTTTACATGTCCAGGATTCCGCCACATAATGTCGAGAGCCGGATTGCTGAACGCTTTGCAAGTTCGGGCAAAGGCATCGAGAGCCGCCCAAGTTTCTTTCTCCCACTCAAGCTCGGGCCCTAACCAGTCCCCGAAGGCGAGTAAAAGTTGGCGGCATATCAAGGCGACGATTTCAGGGCTTTGCAGACTGCGATGCATGGATGAAGGAGTTGTGAAAGAGCCAAATATTACACGTGACCCACGGCATCGCCCGATCCGCTGTCTTCAAGTTAGTTAATTTATGGCGTCCATCCTCCAGAGTGCTGTCCAAGCCACAGATGCCCCGGCCTTGGCTCGAGCTCTTCCATATGTGAAGTCCGCTGCTGTACTCATACTCTCTTTCGCACTCTCCCTCTCTCGTGCCATCTTTTCCGCTGTAGCCTTCGCTGGCAAGATCGCCGCCCACCCCATCGTGTTTCTCTCCCCGTTCCCAGTTCTGCTCTATATTCTCGCCCCTGTCATCATATTTGTACAGCTGTTCCTCGAAATCACCGTATACTCGCCATATCGCGCGATCTTGTGGCTCTCCGATGCGGTCTACCCTGCATACGCGTTTCTCGGCGTAGCTTGCATCACTGGCGCGTTGCTGGGATCAATAGGCCGTTTCTTCATCCTCGGGGTTTTTCATATGGCTCAACCACCACCACCTCATCCATTGGTGGAGACTCCGGAAAAGAAACCAAGGTCTCCGTGAACGGTTGGCGAAGGTACTGCCTCGTCTTCCAAGTTGTCTGAATGTACACTCATCGTCTGTCCTAGATGGCTTCTTCTCGACAATACTCTCGCATTTTCTCATCCGAATGTTGTCCACGCACCTGTGTGTAATGTCAAGCATTGCTTCTCAGTGTCGAGTCAGATGTTGATCTTCTTCCTATAGCGCACGGCCTATTTCCGCCACAGCTGAGCGAAGCACCATGTTGTATAATTATATGTAAGTTCCTCCTTGCCCTTTGTGGACAAAGACCTGAACTTCTTCATAGTTTTCCGCCCAATATTCTTCTTCGAATAATCATACTCTGAAACTTTACTGCACCCGCGGACGGCATAAAATCAGAGGATCCCGCGACGCTGCGGTTGCGCTGCTTCCGTCGTTCTGTGCTTCTCGCTCTTCACGCCGCGTGCCGTTAAGTATATCTATAAAATCAGTACCGCAGTAAGAATTCTCGCGTGGTAAGATCGCGACGAAGAGTGTATCCCACGAACATTCTGATGAGGTTTCGTCGTCGTTCCCAGCTGCAATTGGTACCGGAGTGTCCCCATATACTGCGTGTACGGCCGCCGACTCATGTATTTGGAACCCAGAGATCACAGACCCATCGATAGCACAGACTTTGTCACCACTCAAGACGGCGCAATGTCAAATGCGAATGATAAAATAGGTCTACACAACGCCCCATAACTGCGTTGTCGGTTCGATACTATATCGCCCATCGATAACCTCGAAGTGGGAAATTTCCTTTCAGAGGGCCGATCGTGATCTAACGTACACTCACTCTTCTCAGATCCTCGAGCTCGAGATCGGGGTCGCGCCAGCAGCTTGGCCAGGAATTTCGTGCCGATCTGCCCGCTACGTCATGTTGTTATTTTGCGTCGCGCGCCGCCACTGCGTATACTCGCCAGATATTCGCTCTCAATGGCCTCCCGCATGAAATCTGGCTCGCGATCTGATTTGCATATATTGCACTCTGCCAATTGAAGGTATTGAATTTCATTAATTCATCTCCCCACCGATGCGCCTTCAATCGATCTTGATCGGCGCGCGAACCTGCTTCCCCGCACTTTCGCGGTCCCGCGTCTTGACATCCTGAGAATGCGGGGGTGATCTATCGCAATCAGCGCCCACCGTTGTTATCCTTGGGCCGCGCAGCGCCCAGTCCCTCACAAAGCGCTAGCTTCGGAATCCCCCGCTGGAACTGCCCTAGAACCGTCGGGGCCCGGGGATACTCTCCGTATGTGCGTGCGACCTGGCTTCTGGTGCGAAGTCCTATTGGATAGGATGGGAATAACACGATGCCACGGTTTGGCCTAAGCGCTATCTTGTCCGGGCACGCACCATTCTCCAAGAGGATGTGGCATACACGTTCGTCGCATTCACAACTGATACCGTCCAATGTCCTGCTGCGCCGGATTGTTGTTGCTGGTTTCTCGTTTCTGGCCCTCGAAGCAACGCGAAATTAAAGATTTGTAAGACTATGTCTTCCGATAGATGCACCCGCGCCGGGCGCCGTGCGTATACCCGAGGTCGAGTCCCAGGAAGACCCGGTCGAAGCCCAAATCCTCTAAGTATAGCACCACCCACCGCGCTTCTGCTCATTTTTCATTGCTTCTACTCACTTCTCCTTCGCAGGAACCGCCGGTATGGGGCCGAAGCGAGCTGTGCAAGTCCCCACTGGAGCAGAAGGTGGAGGTACTGTCAGGGCGAACGGACGCCACGCCACGCTGTTTCCTGCGCGAGACGGGAAGAGATGGGAGGGTGTAGGGTTTGTGTGATATAATTGTCTGTGATTTGTGAATGAAGAACGAGGGACTTCGAGAGGGTCTCGTTCGTTCTATGCGCATTGAGACGCGTGAAATAGAGGTTTATTTTGGAGCGATTCAGGCTTGAGTGCTTGTGGGACGGGATGCACCGCAAACAACGGCTTCTTTCGCCAGAATATCAAAGGTATCGAAATAACAACATTTCATTGGCTCCTCGCTCGAAATACATTGAGGCGTGGCTAACAATCGCCGCATAATATATCGTAAATGACAAGTGCGGGAACATTGTTGAACTGTAGTTCAAAAGATGTCAAGGAAATCTGAAGCATTGAACCGGCGCATTAAGAGGAGCCCGTGATGTTTGTGAAGTGCTTGGCGATTCCTCAGTTTCGGGAATACTGATATCGTCGGAAAGATTGTGTCCCCGGGTTTCCGCTGGTTTTTCCGGGGAGTTCTACACGAGCACGAATTCGATTCAACATGGATTCCGGTACTCGAACTTCAATAATCTTTCCGAATATCGTATCCGATTCTGCCACTTGGATCCCTAGGTCTTCAAACCGGTCAAAGAAAGTTTAAATCGACATTGGTGAGTGAAGTCGTTTCGAAAATGTGCCACCGACTCCCCGCAGGGCAAATGATGTACGTACTTGGCTATCGTGCCCAATGCCTGGGCTCAGGTGATCTAAGACTAGAGTCGTTGCTACGGTTGAATGCAAGTTCAATTGTTCGATTTGCCTCACTGATCTGACCATCAGCCTCACTCACTATCGGGTTCCCAAAGGCAATGGGAGCACTGCAGCCGAGACCACCCATCAGAACTAATTTACCGCCTGCCTGAACTCACTCAGTACTCACTCAAAAACATAAGAACTCTGAGGATTTTTCAAACTGGTTTCAACTGCGGATTGCGCCACACTTGTAGCTACCTAATGTCACTCGCTCGAATCTACAAACATTCATCGGGCAAATAGTGTAGTTGGTTATCGCGCCCGCTTCGCATTCTGGTAACAGACTGGTCACGTGACCTGGTTTGCGGGAGGTCTGGAGTTCGACTCTCCATTTGTCCATTCTTTTTCTGGCTTTTCTTTTTTTCCCCAATATTTGTGGCAAGTCCATACATAGCTCACGGATTCAAACTGAGGTGCAGCCCGGTTGCCCGGTGTGTGGCTGTGCTGTACGAGGTCTCAGTCCGCCCTTGATGTCAGTAGGTATTGATTCAGAGACAGCTCATATTTTTCCACTAATTCCTGTAAGTAGCCCTTGGGCTGGGTGAGCTTACCAGATGCACGTGGAGAATGTTTTCCATCGACCAGAATCTGGTCAAGGCCCAATCATCGAGCAAAGCACTGTGTGTGTATTTTGCATAAGATGGTTCACACATGATCAAACTGTTTTAAGACATCAAACTGTCTTAAGATAAAGGTGTTGATATAGTTCACACCCGATCAAACTGTTTTAAGTGCGAACGAGAAGACAACATGTCTTCTCAATGACGTCACACACTCAACTAACTTTCCCAAAAAGGAAACTAGACCAGATTCTGGTCAGGACAACACCCGTTGACAAAATGGGCACCCAATCAAAGTATCTTAAGACAGAGGTGCTGGGTTCGATTCCCAGTTTGTCCATTTTTTTCCACTCGTTTTGTTCGTTCCTCTTCCTTGTTTTTAACCTTCCCCATCCCTCTGTTTCAACTCTAGCAACATCCAAGATTTTTTTGGAGTTCTCCTCAAGTTAAGTCTGATTTCCTCATACCCTGACCTGCTCACATTTTGACATCCTCTCTTATGGTACAAGTGATTGAGAGAACAGGGTTTGTGAATCAGTGTAAGGGAAATCTTAAGCTTGGCACGGGGTGCGGAAACTACCAGGGGAATCCGAAGTATAAATAAAGGTACTAAGTACAGGAGCGGGAATACTAAGCACCTAGCAGGGGAATCCAAAGAGAAGAAAGGATGAGGATTCCCACACCAGGTGAAACCTTATATACTAGTAGGTACTACCCAGTAGCACATGTCTGTAAGTATCTACAATGATCCCAGGCCTGATCACATAACACATGCCAGTGCAAGCGGCAGGACAGGGCTGGAGCTCCGAGTGCCAGAAAGAGCTCTGGCATTAGTCTCTTGTAGGCAGACACTACAAACAGTTGAACCTCGTACCTCGGTAGTTTGTAGTCTGTTGATCACCTTGATCAGTTGATTGCTTGCTGCCCTTATCACTGATCACTAATTTCTCGGCTACTGAACACGGTTTAGAAACACATTTTTCAGTCGTTTGAGGTTGCATTCGAGTTTATTGGGTCGAAAACGTCAAGTTCTCCCGCAAAGTCATGGTGGTAGAATCAAAGAGCATTGATGCCGGATTTTGATGGTCCAGCACACAGGAAAGGCCATGGACACTGTTTACAAGATTGAGATGCAATGGAATAATTCTGAACAGACAGTTTCCTGAGGAAATGGATCAAAATGTATTCTGCCTCTTCAATTCTGCGGGGAGGAGTCTGTGTGCGTTGGATATTTCTTAGAGTAGATTCAAACTCCGATGATTAGTAATAAGGTCAGCGATCAATCACTGGTGGGGCGGTAAACTACAGACTACTCTGGCATCAGAAGTGACAGAGCATGTGATGGAGCACATGCTGGGATGGAGGCCTGTGAGGCAGTCGGAGCAGACACGAGTGCCAGAATGGGTGCACATGTCGGAAATGACGGAACAGGTGACAAAGTGTGATGGAGCAGAGGCGACCGAGATGGCTGGAGCGGGTGTTCCTCTGACAATCAGTGGAGATCAACAATCAGAGTCTCTCGGCTTTTGACTCCAATGTCAACTGCAGCTTGCAATCCTCAATTTTCTTGTCATTCTTGCTGGCAGGTTGACATCTATCTGTCTACAGGCTCCTCCTAGCATGATGTCCAGTCCAGTAGCCCCTAAGGGTGCTTTCAATATTTGCCACTATTCTTGAGTCCTCTGTGTTCCCATATCCACCACTATCAGAGCTTCTTCAAATACAGACTGCTTTATCTACTAAGCTGGGGCACACAACAACACTCTCTGGGCTTTGCTGATTCTACTGGTTTGTCTACTTCTATTGGGTGCCTTTAGTGCAACTCCTATTTATGCTTGCCTTCCTACTGTTGCCAGAACTGTTGGTCTTCTCCCAGGCTCACAGGATCTCAACCATCTGGGTTCCTGGAGGCATCCACCCAGTCATCGGGGTGAAACTTGGTATGTGTTTCTTCCCTGAGTAGATTCAAGACACCTCACAGGCTGTCATTTCTGCTACAAATAAACGGCATCACATCTACATCAACTGGTGCAAAACGGTACTTCCCCCATACATGCCATGTCCTCTATCATAGGCTCTATGCCTTTGGGCACACATTCCAAACATTGGCTGGTGTGAGATGGTACTTCCCCCATATGTGCCATGTCCTCTATGACTTTGGGCACACATTCCAAACACATTAGCTGGTGTGAGATGGTACTTCCCCCATGCACACCATGTCTGCTACGCCTTTGGACATTGGCCGGCACAAGATGGTGCCACATCTGCTACAACCTTTGGGCATGCACCACATCCACATCAGCTGGCATGAGATGGTACTTCTCTCATATCCTCTGTGCCTTTCGGCACATTCCAAAACATTGGCCTGTACAAGATAGTACATCCCCCATATGTGTAATCCTGCTAGGCTTTTCTATTGCTATGCTATTTCAAATGAGTGTGTTCTGTTGGCATCTAGTAGTACCATTGTAAGGATAACCACCCTTATATACCTACTTGTTTGTCTTTGGTAAACTTGTTGATCAGGTTGTGGTCCATATGAGTATAATATAACCCACCCCCCCATTGCATTCTGTTGTCTACCCGGATTCTGGACCTTCCAAACACTGCTCAGTCAACTCCTAGGGTTCCTGGTTATGATGTGTTGACTCCTCTTAGACTTTTGGGTATCCTCACCAGGACCTCGTCCATATCATCTGTGGCTTGTGATGTGCTGTGTGCTGGATAGGCTCCTGGTCATACTCTCAGTGTCTCACTGATGCATTGTATCCTCCTGGTTTCATGGGGATCCTTCTGCAGATGTGTCGCACACTCCTACCATCTCGTGGGAGTTCTGCCGAAGGATTCCCCAGTGTGCTGGAGAGCCTGCGCAGCTGGGTTCTCTCCCGCCTCTCTCACCGTACAGACTGAGTCAGTGAGCACAATCCACAAATTGATATTCTCCCTCTCACGCGGTACAAGTGATCAGGAGAACAGGGTTTGTGAATCAATGATCAGAGTGCTCTTGACTCCAATGGCTTGCAGCTCACAAGCCTCAATTTTTTTGTCCCCCCACCCATCCCGCAATTTTTATATCTACCTTTCTCCTGCTCAAGCTTCAAGCTTTTTCCCTTATCTGGGTCTTCCCTCAACAAGGTTTTCTCAGGAAGGTTTTTAACGTGGCTGATTCGAAGCCCCTTGCTACATACATTTTCATCCACTCTCTATTTACACATCTATATACATGCTGTGTTAGCGGTATAATCATATTACTTACCTCACATACACTTATCCTTTCAATTATCCCGTCATTCCTCTACTACCTGGTTTACGATACTCGCTTATTAACCTCAGTTCCTTCTTGGAACTGAGGTGTACGTCCATTCCTTTATAATATTTTATTTCAGATCTAATTATTCCATAGGCTACACTAACAGGTACTTAGATATTAATATAAAGAGTTCTTTCTTGGTAACTGAGGCGCAACACTAACATGCTGTATCAATGTATGTAGCAAACATATCAGGGCCAATGGGGGGTTCCGCCGAAGGACCGCCTCTCACCGTGCAGACTGAGTTGGTGAGCGCAATTCAGCTTTACCAAGCCTCCTGCTCGCGGACTCGGCTGCTTGACAGCGCTAGGCGCCTAACACCGGACCGGAACAAAAATATCACGAAAGATCACGAACGTGGATTTCTCGAAAGATATTGTCAAAGAAACTCGAGCCGGTCGCGTAGATGAAGGAGGATTTGCGAGGAGCACGCGGGTTGTTTCAACCGGCGGCTGTTTAATTTCGACCCGCCATTGAACTGGATGGAGTTGCGCAGGCGTTGGCATCGGCAGAGTTGGGGGACACTGAGCAGGTGATGCGGGGGTCGGTGCGGGTTCCGCGAGTGCTGGGCGATGAGTTGCGGGTGGACGGGTGCAGTGTTTCGAACCACTGTTCATGATTATGATTATGGTCCGACGTTCGTACATATGTATATCGCCTAAAGAAGACAAAGGAGGAACAGAGAGAGAGAAAACACGCGAGAAGGAAACTTGCAAGAAGTTGAAACACAGGTTTTTCTCGGTTCGAGTACTTCCGTTTCGTTTCGCGTTGTTCTTTGGAACTTGTCAAATATTAATGGTTGAATCAGTGTTTGATTGTAGGCTTCCTGAGCTCCATGGGCACGCTGTTGTATTCGAAGCCGCAAGGGGTGCTACAGCATAGAGCATCAGGAACGTGATTTGTCTCTTGAGAGATCCACGCGGGGGTCGGCGGCGCTGGGCCGGTATTCGGAATTCGGGATTCGCGAAAGTTTGAAATTCGAGAGAAAAATTTGCTCAGGGGGGAGGAACGAACGAGTGAGACGAGTTGGGTTGGATTGAAAACTGGGCTCCCGCAATACGGTTTCAACGGAGGGAAACCTGGCACGTATGACGTATAATTCGAAGCTGGTTGAACCCTCGCCTGCTATGCGCTCGCCTACCCTCGGCGCGGTGGTCCGACCTCAATCAAATGTTCAGCACTGGCATCAACGTCAAGACACAATCTTCAACATTGCCGCAGCCAATGGGAGGGGCTTATTCGGAAGTGTGTGCGCTTGAAGCGTGGCGGGCCGGAGCCGGAGCGGAGGATCGGGAGAGAGTCTCAGACTAGCCTTTTCGAGGCGGTTGAGTTGAATATATCGGTATCGGGCCGGGAAACGTGTGTTGAACGCAACTTTTGAGTTTTAAAGGGGCCGGGGCGAAGTTGAAGTCGAATTCGATTTTAAATCCGGCGGACGGCATAACTACAAAGCGCAGTTGCATTTTTTT